CCCCCCTCCCCCCCAAAGTGCCACCCACGTTTCATCCTACTTTTTATCCCCCCGGACCCGGGCAACTTAGAAGGGGACCACTCCTTTTCAGTGGGGTGGCCTCCGATACAATTGCCCAAGATAGACGACATGCACTTTGTGTACTTGCAATCCAAGGCGAAGGTGGTACTCTCACAGGAACAGGATCACGGACTAGAAGGGTAGTTATCCTCTCTCCGGAGGTGGATTTCGCTCTTCGCGTGTGCGATAATGGACTTGTGTGGGCTGCTTTTTCCTTGTTTTGCGACTCAAAGTGTTCTCTATTTTCAGTGCTGGCTATTACAGCAGTGGAGCGGGCATGATTACAAGAGTTACATTATATTATTCCCCTTGCGTGATTTGATGTGAAGATTATTTATATAACCGTGAGATTGAATGCAATGTCTTTCCCTTCACTTCCAAGTATTTTATCCGGCACAGTAGTTCAATTCCCATTACAACTACAATTTGCTGACAAGCAATGCAATTCAGGGCAATGACGAAGAGCAAAAGAATAACATTGAAGTATCAACACCACGAACCCTTGACTGCGCAAACTGCAATTCCATAATCGGCATGGAAGATCCAATCGCCAAGGGATGGCGACTCTTGAAGGCCAACGTATCCCTGAATACAAATTCACTCAGTCGTGAGGCAGACATCGAAAAGTGGGAGGCCCACCCAACAGAAACAATCGTTGCCGCACAGTTACTTGAATTGATTGAGAGAGAAAGCGCCCGGAGATTCGTTGTGCATTGTGGTCAAAAGAGCGGCCTTGTGGTAGGTGATGTTCCATTTCACTCGGTTTCCTCTGCACTTGGGGCATTGCCGAGAATAAACTCTACAGGTGACACTGGCTAACGAATCTTCTACTTGGCAGCTTTGGGTCTTCAATCCAGATATGCGATACTCGAACTCCAGCGCAGGCCGTAGTATCATGGCTCAGCAAGCGATGAAGGTATTCTACCAAGAGTCTCCCGATGTGGATGAGCTGCTCCATCCGAAAATTGGGAATCCCTCGCCGTTGTCGGTGGAAGAGTTGGAGTTACCCTCTATGATATTCGAAGCAATGTCGCAAGCGTTGACTGGGAGCAATGAAATGCTCCCGCTCTCTGCTAGGAGGTTTAACGAGTGGAATGTTGGGCTTTTGAGTCGTTATAGGCGCGAGAAAGTATGAATTGTTTGTCTTTTGTGAGATACGAAGTAAGAAAGCCTACGACATGCACGCAGCAGATCCATGCTGATATTGCAAGCATATATTATTCGTTGTAATTCATTTCTTCTCAATCCGGGGTTGAGATTATCGTAGCTAAGTGTTATTTCAAATTTGAAGGCTTCCAGCGCCCCATCTAACCATCGAAGGGTGTCTCAAAGGGAGGCTCAGCCTGAGGTGTGAGACGAGCGATGTGTCGGCGCTGGCCATCCTCCCAGTCGAAAACGGCAGAGTGGCATACCACACGGTTCTGCGAAGGTCAGTGTCTTTTCTCATTGAAGAGAGAATAGGTTGTTGTATAACTTACATCCCAAACGACGACGGTACCAGCCTTCCAGCGAATACGCGCCTGAAGGTCCTGTGACAAGGCGATGTGGTCGTACAGGAACTTAAGGAGGTGATCTGATTCCTCTTTCTTGTATCCAACAATGTAACGGGTGACTATGCGACAAGAAAAATATCAGCTTTCCGAATCCCTCAACAACTGTGTTAATTCGGACTTACACTGAGGGTTCACGTAAAGTGCCTTCTCGCCAGTTACCGGGTGAGTTCGGACAATAGGGTGCTCCGATGTAATAGGGTCACGGCGGGCAATACCACCGCCATTCAAACTAGCATTAATCTGCTCGAGGCCAGAGTGTACCGCCTTCAATCCGTGGAGTCGTTCCCGGAAGCCAGGCGACAGACGCTTGTATGCCTGGACCATGTCGGCGAACAGGGTGTCACCACCTGTGGTGGGGCCGTCGAGCGCATACAAGAAAGTTGTGCCAGGGGGCTGCTTTTCGAAGGTGATATCAGAGTGCCATGTAATAGTATTGGTGCGCTGGTTTAGGAAGGTCTCGCCGGTGCGATCGTCAGCACCGCGGAAGACAAGGTGAATCTCTGGGAATCCCTTGGGAGCCCCCGAGGTCTGATGGATGTGGTGTCGTCCAAAGTAGCCGGCATAGTCGACAACCTCTTGAATCGGGCGGGATGCGAAATCTTGGTCGCGGAAGGCTGTTTATATTTGTTAGACTCATGCTTTGAAGACCGATCGAGATCAAAGAAATGTTTCCGACCACATACCAACAACCCGTCGCTGTGCAACATAGAGGGCCAATTGATCCTTGCCCTTGTCAGACAATTGGCTTAGTTGCACGCCGTGGATTTCAGAGCCAATAAAGGGGGTGATATCGTCCACCTCGACTTGGCCCTTGGGCAGCAGGTCTGGGAAAGAGGCGTCGGCATCTTTGCCGTGGTCGTAGTGCTCGAAAAGCTCCAGAGGAGGATATCTGGATGTCTATTAGATATGAAATTCATGGGGATGCGGGGCGGTAGCATACCTTTCCGTCTCGTTATCCCAGACAGGCAGATATTCGGGATAGGATACAGGAGGTACCTTCTCTGTGCCCTTAATCTCACGCTCCTTTTCGATCTTATATCCAATCAAGTTCTCCTTGTTGTGGCCGCCGTCTGACTTGAGAGGAAGCGAAACAGGAGGGGCCCGGAGGCCTACTGTCTCAGTGAGGGAGGGAGCCATGTTTTAGAATTGTGTTTAAGAAAGTGAGTATGTATATATTGCCTCTGTGGTAGATATATTCTGTCCGTATCTTGCCTCGTGGAGGGTTAAAACTGCTAATATATAATCATATCGGCACCATCAAACCGAGGACACGAATTACGCCATCATTGCGGGGGGTTACGGTCTCTGCAGGATGATATTATAACCGTCAAGTTTCCGTTATCGTTGCGAGCGAGCCGACGAGCCTGCGGGGTTAGGCGAGGGTACTTTGTATATTGTAGATTGGCGTAGTCATCTTATGCTATGTTGGTTGAGAATGACGTGATAGATAAATGGCATGCGTCCAGTAACAATCGCCGTTATTTGAGAAGATTAAAATTTTATTTCGACATCCAAGTGTTCGGATCTTCGTAAGTATGTTGTACGAGATGTTTGGTATCACCCACTATGGCGTGATAGACGACTCCCCTCGCGCAACATTGGAACAAAATTTCAGTATTTACTTTTGACTTCGGTTTTTTAACTAAAATGCTATATGCTATATCATGTTATATAACCGATCATCTATTCGTCAATGTTTTTAGGGGAAAATTGAACCAATGCCAAGACAGGATAGAGAGTATTCCGTACTCCACATTGTTAATTTAGTTAATATAATAGACATAGTTAATAGAACATAGACTACTCCGTACGGAGTACTTCCATACTCCGTACAATACTATGTCAAACTTTGTACTCCATCTATCCATGCAGATCTCCACAAAACAGGTTGTCTGCGTGACACCCCTGCTTGATTTAGCTCCGCCTACTCGTGGAGTCTAACGTCAGTCCCACTACACTTGCGTGATTTAGCCAAGCCAACACCTAACTAGACAACACCCGTCGGCTCTTCGTCTATTTTCAAATTGTCATCTTTAATGGCATGAAGTCTCTTATATCCGGAAACACTCCGATCTAAAACATCCACGGTCCCGCAGAAGGCGCCTCCAACTACCAGTCTAGGCTTTTTTAAGTCAACCTAGTCAGCTATATATCCACCGTTGAGACTATACTAGGTTACAATTGGGTCTCTCAATCATCTTTGCATAGCATACTCGGCAACTCCAAAACTTTCTGTTATCAATGTTGTGACTTTTACCTTCTCCCCTGGCCCACACGTGGAAAGGCCAAAGCGAGACATCTGTTAAATATGGCGTGATAAGTAAATTTTAATGTCAGCTTATTGCCTTCCAAGGCTTATATGAGTTAACGTTCATCCACCCAAGCAATGCTTCTTTTCTTCCATCCGTGATCTAAGTTCCGATCCCGATACTGCGAGATGACGGTTGAAGAAGCCAATAAAACGGCCTCCAATGCCGAGGGCCTTGACTCTAAGGTTGCCCCAAGAGTCTCATCTGCAGATTCTTCGTCTTCATCGACGTATGACGGTCCTCGAGCCAAGCAGACCGACGGTGCTTTCGATACGACTGAGGACCCACGGTTCTACAAGCCCATTCCTGAATATGAGGGTGCCCATCGCTGGGACCCGGAGTTTGAGTGGACAGAGGCAGAAGAGACAGCTGTTGTGAGAAAGGTATGAGTTACTGAGGCTCTCATATATTGTGCTCATAGTAATTAACCGGTCTAATAGATTGACTGGCGCATTTGCACATTTGCCTGTATGACTTTCTTTGCACTCCAGCTAGACCGTGGAAATGTCGTCCAGGCCACATCAGACAATATGCTGGGCGATCTTGGAATGACCACAAATGACTACAACACTGGCCAAACAATCTTCTACCTAACATTCCTCGTCGCTGAGCTGCCCTCCCAGCTCATCTCGAAATGGGTCGGCCCGGATCGCTGGATTCCCGTGCAAATGATATGCTGGAGTCTCATCGCCTCGTGCCAGGCATTTATCAAAAATAAGAGCGGATTCTTCGCGACCCGTGCTATGCTCGGTCTTCTCGAGGGTGGCTTTATTCCAGACACAATTCTCTTCCTGTCATTCTGGTACAAGTCTAAAGAGTTGCCTATCAGGCTCAGCTTCTTCTGGATGACATACGAAGTAACCGCAATTGTTAGCGCTTTCCTTGCTTTTGGCTTCCTCCACATTCGCCAATCTGATGGTACCGGTGGCTGGCGATACCTGTTTGCCCTGGAGGGTTTGATTACCGGTTTGATCGGTATCGCCGCTGCATTCTGGATGCCTGCCTCGCCAACCCAGACCGCCGGCCGGTTCCGCGGCAAGGATGGTTGGTTTACTGAACACGAAGAGAAAATCATGGTTAATCGTGTGCTGCGCGATGACCCTAGCAAGGGTTCCATGCACAATCGCCAGGCCGTTACTCCCAAGCTGCTCTGGCAGGCCCTCAAAGACTACGACATGTGGCTTATCTATCTGCTTGGTCTGACTTGGATGATCCCCAACACACCTGCTACGTCATACATCAGTCTGGAATTGAAGTCGCTCGGTTTCAGCACTTTCAACACGAACTTGCTCACTATCCCGGCCTATGTGATCTTCATCGTAAATCTACTATTGTGGACTTGGGTATCAGAGCGGTTCAATCAGCGACTTCTGCTTGGTGTTGGTGCTGAGCTTTGGGCTCTGATCTTATTGATCGCGTTGGAGACTATTTCTGAGGATGCCAGTCCTTGGGTGCGTTGGGTCCTGCTAATCATGTTGATTGGCATGCCTTACGTGCACGCTATTATTGTTGCAATTACATCCCGCAATGCAGGCTCTGTAAGGACGCGAACGGTTGCTACTGCTATCTACAACATGATGGTGCAGGCCAGTAGCATCATTGGTGGCAACGTGAGTCCTTGTTTCGGTTACCTAATGCGCTCAAGTTATCACAACTAACCACCACATCCAGATCTACCGCACCCAAGATAAGCCGTATTATCACACGGGTAATAAGGTTCTTATTGCTCTTTCGGTGTGGAGTATGGCGATATTCATCATTGCGAAGCTTTACTATGTGAGGCGTAACAAGTATGTTAACTCGTGGACTCTGATCGGTCGAATTGCTTTTGCTAACATTTACTTCTAGACAAAATGCCGCTATCTGGGACAAAATGTCTAGCGAAGAGCGATCGCGATACGTCGTTGAAAACAAAGATCTTGGAAACAAGAGGTATGTATTAGCACTTGTCTCTTGCTATGCGACTGAATGCTAATGACTGCGCTACAGACTTGATTTCCGATTTTTGCACTAGAGACACGACTATATTGTCTGGCACATATGTGATTGGATTATAGAGGCATTACCTAGACTAAAAAAACCCCCAGATAGAATAAAACAATGAGTTGAGCTCATTCGACGTTAATTTCATCAAAACCTTCGTCATCGAATTTTCAGAGCAGTAAAAGTCCATCAATATATCGAGGTATAGATAGAAGTTGCACTCTTACTCTCCAATCACATACTCACACCCTTCATTGCCAATCCAAACCTCATGAATTTTTCCAGCCGGAACATCAACCCTTTCTCCAACTCGAAATGTCTCCTTTATAACTTCCCCATTATGCAATTTAGCATTATCTTCAGGGTATGTAATTGTCAGAGATCCACGGCGGATAAGGTGTGTTGTCAGACCGCTATGTGAGTGCGGGGAATAATGGGCGTTGCTGATGGGCGAGGTCAGCATCAGTACACGCACTCACAGTCCAAAAGAAAGACCAAGTTGCTGCCGGTAATTCAATCGGGACTCCCATTTTGGGTGTATCAGCTCCACAAAAAACATCCCTGACGTACCTTCCATCTGTCCAGGTGAAGATATGTCGGAACCCCCACTCGCGGACGAGACGCTCGCTCTCAACGCGTGTGCCGGTTGGATAATTTTGCGTCATAATTATCTGGCTTATGAATTCCAGGGTCTCCTTCTTGTGGATGAAGTGAAATGTACTACAACATAATGGAAGTTGAAGCCTGACGTATACGTAGGTACCGGATAAATGCCAAGTTACGGATCATTTCCTTTTCTGTTTTAGGACTTGCCTCGTGCCGCCTTAATGAACCCGAGCGAATTACAGCCGTTTTGGCCTTAGTTTATTTAGCCTCAATCTGTAAAGATCCACCACACATAATGCTAACCCCAAAGGGTATCCCGGAACATGATTAACCCCAGAGAGCTTCATCACTTCGAGGTCTGTCTGATGTTGTCAATAGACCGGGCCATATTGGATGGCGAGATAATCAAATGGGAAGATTAATCTACAAAAGTACAAGATGCTGAGACTGGTGACCTGTTATATTGTGACTTGCTCTGTTTGGTTCGAGGAAAAGATCTAGAGTCATTCATACTTGTGTGGGCTGACATACTCTGTTTTGAGTAAAGGGCTATGTACCGCGTGGACACACCTGAACCCTATCCTATCTACCTACCCCGGATATGGATATGCATACGTATTCGCTCTAGTCTCCTGCCCAAAACATAAAGATAGAACACATCATAAACACTAGTTAGATCGATGCATTTGGTCAGCTCCACATCTATACCTAAATATTGGGTTAGCGAGCACCCGTTCGTCGGACAGTCATTAAGCGTCCGTTATTATACACTTTTTTGGCTTCGGGATGGCCGCTGTAGGGTAGATCTGATCCCGTATTGATATCTCAGCAGGTAACCAGCCTGCCCAGCTAAGCCTAAGCGCCCATGAAGCCTCACTGAAACAGCCTCAGGCTAGACTAGGAAATCCTGCGGGCCAGAGGAAGTCAAATTCATATCATAGCTGTATCCACGTGCGTATGTGCGGTAGAGTTAGTGTGGTTCGTGGATGCACTCTTTCATTCCAAGTAGATGTGGGTGATGTCATGGAATCTGGGAACTCCCACGTGGGGTCATCTACTACTTATTATGCACATATTGTATATGCAGGACAAAAATACTTGAAGCCCAATTTAACGTGAGTGACCATTCTGCCCAATCTAATAAAATCTTAGTGAATCGGCCCGATGGTAAACATAGCACTCGATTATATTTGTCAAGACTAGATCGACCGATGGAAGGAAAGCAAACATGTCGTATCTCATTATCAGAAAACGCTAAAGAAAGAGGAACAGAAACACCACAGCAGAAACAGAAACCTATTGCGCCTTTCGCCTGAGGTTTAACCGATGCCAAATAAGTGTGGGGTGTCAGTCTTCAAGTCATTCACGGGCCCTCCGTGTGCTCGGCCGTATTGGGTTCATTCTCGAAATCCAAGAAGGGGTCTCCATATGATTGGGAGAAGTAATGATGTGGGGCATTGGATCACATCTAGACAGCATGGGCATACATGACTGCACATAGCCTCTTTTCACATGATATATGTGCAACACATGAACTCAAGTCTATCATGCACATGGTGTGTGGCAGATGTGACAGTTCTTTCCTGGGATAACCCAAACTTCTTTCCCCTGCGCTTGGCAATTGGGGCATCGTACACCTGGCATCTATGGGATAGTTAGTATATCTTTATAAAAGTACCGGAAATACAACATCGATGATGAAGCGTAGGAGTATGAACCTTGGTGACGATGGTGGAGTTGGAGCACACCGGAGCAGCAGATTTGGAAGAGGAAGTCATGGTATTTTGGTAGGTATTTCGGCTAAGGAAGGACAGAGAAGGGTATGAATAGAGTTCTTTATCGAAGCCGGAGGATAGCGTTTAGGTTTTTCTCAAGTTGAAGTCTGAAGACAAGGTTATGGGAATGGGATGAGGAGGGGTCCTTATAAGGCCCGGAAAGCAAGGGAAGAAACCAAAGGAGTAGAATAGATCTAGTTCACACTGGCTAATCAGAGGCAAAGAAACGAATCACTGAAATTAAAAAAAAGAAATAATAAAAAAAAAAGAAACCAAAATAAAAAAAAACCTAAATTGTAATCTCAAAATTAATATCAAAACCTAGGAGGCCTCGGTAGTTCCCGCTCAGCTCAGTCACCCCTTTGTCTCCCCCAATGATATCAGCCAGTGAAAGTAGATGGATGTTCGTCCTGACAGCTTGGCTTTTCAATGCACAGGCATCAGAGCCAAAAGAAAATGAGCCAAAAACAGAGTCCTCACGACCCCTTTTTGTACGCCACTGGCCCACTAAAGCCAATCATAGCAACGTCCTCGGTACATCCCGAGGCCTCCGGGCCTTGTAAGTTCGTGATGTTTGCTTTCTCAGGCCCAAAGAATCAATGATTCAAGGGGAGCAGACAAAGAAATGCGTTTAGTCTGATCTGACTCGGAAAATTGCATCAATTCACCGATACTTGGAGAGAAAAAAAGGGGGAAGACTAGGATTGCAACTCTCAGCACATTTAAGAGTTGATGTATCAACCCCAGAACCCTACGGGATATCCAAGATAGGTCTAGTGCTCGGTCATTCTCGGCCGTGGTGGGGCTATAATTCGCTGATGGTATTCGACATGGGTCCCCTTCATTCCTCAAAAGACGATCCCGCCCGATCATTGGCTGCATCGCTGTGGCCCGTCTGTTCTAAGCCTGGCATATTATCGCCTCCGATGCATGCAAATTTCATGAACGTGACGCATGAACCCCTCCACCAGGACCTGTCAAATGACAAATACTTACAGAGTACTCCATACATGTGCATCTGAAGAACCACATCGAGCTTTGTGCGTGCATTCACCAACTACTCTATACAGGCCCTAATAATCCAAATGGGAGTACGGAGTACTCTGTACAGACGTAGACATCTCATATTATTGCGATCCTTGAGGCGACGTGTGATCATCTTTGGCCACAACTTTATCGGGGGATTTACCGGTCAACTTGACTTATCTGTTAGTCCCCACTAGCCATGTTGATCAATCTGATGCATATCGCTTGGCGCATGGATCGCTTCTAACACTATTCCTTTCAAGGTGATATTATCGTCTCGCTCTCACCGATCTTCCTCTACAACATACATGATATGAACCCCACGGTGGGGGGTTATGGCTCGCAGCATGCAAGAATCCTTTTGGTTCACCAACGCACTATCTGTACATAGGCTAAGGTGGCTCAAAGTTCAAGGCTGGACTGCTACCCCACGTTCTTACGCATGCCTTACCAATAATCCTCTTTTTTTTTAACGCCATTATACCCGTCGTGTTCCGTCTGATCCGTCATCGCTAATTCTTCTCTCTCTTCGAGGCCTCATGGTAAATACTCCCATAGCTAACCTAAATAAGTTTGGGGTGACTATTTAGATATCACTGAAGTCACAGATTGCGATAAGCAGATCTACCCTGGCATTATCTGGGAAACTATCATGTTAGACCCTGTGTTATACTCATGCACGGCATCGGTACGGTGCATATCATGCGGCTAATAATTAAATGTTTTCAAAAGTGATATATGACACAAGCACGACACTACAGCACGGAGTAGGGACCTTTATAGGCATCCACTTTAGATGCCAACGGAGCCGCCTAGCTAAAACAGGACATGATCTACTCCGAGTTCGGCCTTTATGCCTCTGTTTAGACACCCAAGTTGTTTCTAGTGACTGTTTTCTGCCAACGAGACTGTTATGTTTACGGCTCTACACAATGCAGCCTAAAATATTAAGAGTCTAAATGCCAACGTGCTATTGTTTGTGTAACGTCCTCGAATCAGACATGCACGCTGACTGGCATGATTGCATCTCACAATCGCGATCGCCAATCTGTAGCCTGTCACTTTTGGCCATATCGAAATGAGGTCGAAATGAGTTTTGTGATACACATGCCGAAGGACTTGTCACATTTGTCAAATGTCGGCATGCCTTTCTGCAACCTTTTTGTTCCTGGTGTTCCTAATGTGGAAGTGCGCTGTACGACATGCTGCCCAAACCCTGCCCAAAGACAAACGGCCGTTCTGGCGCTGTGTTTCATTGAATGGCATTCAGACTTGGTTTGTAAGATGTCGCAATTTTCCGCATACATTATGCTGACAATGCACACACCTCAACAACATCTTCTGGGTAGCTAAGAAAACTGCTTCACAATATTAACTAGCAATATACCCCCGGCATTGTCGCCGACGCATTCATGGAGATGAATCAGCCGGTAGCCTTCCCGCAGCCGGTCAAGTCGGATGCAAGCCCATGCAGCCAATGGATCCCGACCGATCTCATCGTCCTTGATCTTGATCCTAGAGAGAAGAAAACAGAATCGAGTCAGTGGCTTGTTTGTACTCTGTGCATAATGCTTGCATCTTCGAATGTGAAACGCATTATAGGGCAGTGTACATGATAGTGGAGGTGATACTGAGGAAAGCTACAGGTCGCCCTGCTAAGCCCAAGCCCAGTTAATGCATTCTGTTACCAAAGGGGAAGCCTGAAAGAAGCAAATACCCAGCCCAGTCGTCATGTTTGTGTGATGCGGGCCAGTGCATGCGTTCTTTACCTGGTATCACAATGCATGGTTTATGCCTGCATACTCGAAAACGAATTCATGTGACGGGATGGAGAACGGAAGCAAGGGGAAAGCTTGCGGGGCAAGGGAGAGGACAAAGCAAGAGGTAAAGTACTCGATACATCGATGTAAGCAAGGAATCGGAAAGGAAGACTAACCGTAGGAAACTCAACTCCTCAATTATCCCCGTCACGGTCGGGAATTCCAACTTCTGACCCTTGAAGTCCGGGTTCCGACCTGAAGAACTCTTCGTGTACCGCCTGTAGCTGCTCTTCTCTGTGTCGGAACTCGCGTCGTCCTGGTCCGGGGCAACATCGCCTTCTGGTTCTTCGACGTGCAGCTGACAGTTCACATAGGGTTTAAATCCCCTCTCGCTGTGGTCGCCCGGCGGCAGAGAGAGGTCCTGTGCGGCGTATATCTCGATTGAGAGGGTTAAGCTGCGGCGCTCGATAACATTGGTCGGAGAGTTTTTATCACTTCGGTACCCGGCGGGCTTCAGTCGCCAGCCGTGACTTCCGACAAACATTCCGTGATTGAGCATCATGCCCTTGTCAAGGTTCTGCCAGTTTAATGCTACTAGCTGAGCGCCACGCCGCCAGTAGAATGTTGGGTCAAAGTTTGACGAGGTGACTCGGAATGCGTACGGGTAGATACGCATCATGGATCTTCGGTTGTGCTCAAACAAGGCGTCACGATGGTTGACATGGGCTTCTCGCGCTGCTTTCTCCGAAAGCGAGAACACATGGAGAGGAACTTTGGCCTCTATTGATTAAATTAGCATCGCCTTCCTGGCCATATCTACAATGACGATGCATACCCGGTTGATCAAAATGGCTGAAATGATACGCGCGAGTATAAACAGCCATCTTGGCTAGAGCGTCCAGAATCTTTGATGGCTTCGGTGGTTGCTGCTCTGAGGACTTATCATCGGATTTCTGCGGCGTCAGAGCTTCTCCTTCCGATTTCTCACCCTCGGCGCTGGGTGGAACACATTTGCTCTTAATCAAGATCTTCTTCTTCAGATCAGCCAGCGAGGGAAGGTTTTCCCCACTCGGAGGAGCCTCCACGAGCAATCCTTTCCACGCCTCCAGCATGATGTCGACCATCGTCTGTTGCTGTTCAAGAGAGGCATGTACCTCGAGACTAATGACTAATGGGAGATCGCTGGCAACAAATGCACTGTCACGGATTGCATAGCAGATTTCACGGAATGTAGTGCCCTTGGTTAGGGTATGGCCATGCAGAACACGAGGCTCAATGGGAACAGGCATATGGCTCGTTGCGGTCTCTTCGTGGGATGGTCGCTGGGGCGACTTGACGGATTTGCGACGAAGTATACCGTTGAGTTTGGCTTCCAATTTGGACGCGACTGATCCTTTCTGTGCTTTAGTGGGTTTTTCCTGACCACTTTTCTTGGCCTTCGTCTTTTCTTTCAACTTGCTCCCAGTACTGCTGCCTTCTTCTGTCTCTGAATCACTGCTGCTACTGTCGCTGCTTTTCTCGTCGTCGCTTGAGTTTGGGGTGTCCAATTCTCCATCCCAGACATCAATCTCGACCGACCTGCAGCCGCGGAGGAGGACCTATTGGATTGTGAGTAAATCTTCCATTCTCGGTCCTACGAGATCATGACATCCATAGAGCGTAAATGGTATGACTGTTCTGCAACGTATCAACTCACATATACATAGGCACTAGCAGCAGCATCGCTGTACAGCTGATTACCCGTCAAATAAGTGTTGTGGCTCGACGAGATGAAATAATCCGAAATAGGTGCAGAAAGATCCAGGGCTTCTTCTAGTGCCATCGCAGATGAGTTCGCATCTTTCATGTAGGCACGAAAGGTATCCAGAGAAGCCAAAACGTCGGCGACAGGCTCAGGGGAAGTTGCGATTGTAGTGTCATGTTGCATTTCCTGGAGGAAATAGTTTGTAGTTGGAGCATATGCATTAACTGTCTTGTAGATCTCTTGGATATGATCGTCCAAAGATGGGTGGAATTTGTCCACGGTGTGTGTTGGTGTCTCGGGTGGCTCATGAAGTACTAGGTGTTTAGCACGGTCCACAAGAGCTTCGACTTTCTCCATTTTGCACAGGTATATTGTTAATGGGCTATTCTGTTCAGGGAGTATGCCGTGTAGGAGGTACAACCTTATGGATGTTGGGTCGTAAGTGGAGGGGTAGTCTTATTGGCAAAAGGTTGCCCCCCTTGTTTCAGAGGTTGTGTCAGGTATGTGTTTCTGAATTTAGATCATATAGGACACGAGTACAATGTATTCCAGGTAGAAATGACAATATGCCGTGGATGCGAGGAGAAAATCCTAATGTGACCCGTGCGTCCTAACTCCCCCCACTGCCAACGTGTGCCTCTGCCTATATCATTATCGATATACGAGCTGTGGCTTTTCACTTTTAACTGTTCAGAATTCATACATTTATCCTTCGCGCATAAATTCATTGGATTTATCCAGTACTATTCCGTTTCGCAGCTTCGCACAAAACATGTGAAACTATTAGATTAATATCAGGCCCATGAGTCAGAGGATAAAGAGCCTCTTGATTAGGATAATCATATTATGTTATTCCCTAAGCTTCTAAACCGCATTCCAGCTGATAAATCAAAGCCCCGCTGCCGAGATCTCCAGGTCTGTTCTCTATAAATACCTAGGTAGAAACACTCAACGGCTTGAAGCTCAACAATTTGGACACTCAATTCAAGTTCAAGTCTTAAGATATATAATCTACATACATTACACAATGACCGAATCCAAGATCCATTTCTTCGATCTCCTATCAGACCTACCCGGTACGGACCAGCCCTACAGTTAGATGACTCTACAAACAAACCACTGACTCAACCAGGACCTTCCAAGTCATGGTCTCCCTACACTCTCCGGACCAGAATGGTCCTTAACTTCAAGGGCATCCCCTACACACAAAGCTGGGTATCATACCCCGACATTGAGCCTTTCCTCAAAGCTCATGGTGTCACACCTGGCAAGGGAACACCTTATACAATGCCGGCAATTAGCCACAAGGGGTCAATAACGAGTAACCCGGACGGGGTGCTCATGGATTCTCAGCCGATCGCCGAGTACATCGATAAGCTGTACCCGTCGCCCCCGCTCTTCCCCTCCGGTGACGCAAGCTACTCGCTGTTCATCGCTGTGGAGAAGTTCAAAGACCTGATTTCACCGAGCTTCAGGTCGCTGATTGTTCCCAACGTTCCACCTAAACTGGATGAGCGTGGACGTGAGTACTTTATCCGGACGCGCTCTGCGGCTTTCGGAAAGCCACTTTCGGAGGTCAGGCCGACGGATGAGACAGAGTTGCTTGCTCTTTGGCAGCGTATCGAGAAGGAGGCGGAGATGCTGATTGAGATGCTGAAGGGCAAGGATGGAAAGAAGGGGCCATTTTTGGAGGGTGAGAGGGCTGGCTATGCGGATATTGTTCTCGCTTCGCTTTTGGCTTGGTTCCAGCGCTTTGACCAGGGTACCTTTGAGAAGATACTTGATCTTGGGGATGGGGAGTTCAAGGCGTTTTATGAAGCTTGTTTGCCCTGGCTTGAAGGGCAGGGGGAGGAGAAGGAGTGGCCGGTTTCCCAGTAAGTTATACTTTGAATTTGTCAGCGATAAAGATGGCCCGGGGGTGTTCGGGATACTCCGCGGCGAGACTAGATCTGAGACAAGTATCATTTGATATATAGCACAATCGAAAAACAAAATCAATGTAATAATACATCCCGGGTGCTCTAAAGAGCCCGGTCTATCCAATATCCAACAATATCGAGGCGGTTCTGGGCGCCTGCGACACAACCCCAACAAGAAAAGTACAATCGCTTCCATGTGTTCCACTCGAATTGACCTGAAAAGGCTTACAGACCACGCAGGAAATTCGACTCCTTGATGGCCTTCCGTCTGGCATCGCGTGCACTCTTGATAATCTCCGAGCGCTGCTCGAAGCCTTCGGTGGCATCGGCCATAGCATCCGCTGAGGGTGCGTCGCGGTTGTAGGGTGCGGGGGTGATATCGTGAGCGTGGTGATGAGCGGGGATCTTAGCGGCGAGGGGACCAGTACGGGCGGCCAGTTTCTTTTCGTAACGCTTTCGTTGCTTCTTGTTCAAGGCTGCGACAGGGTAAGCATCTTGAGAAGAACCGAAGATCCAGGAGATATCTTACTGCTTGGGTCAACACCGCCCTGCTTGGTCTTTGAGTCCTTGGCGGAATCCCCCAAAAGATTCCATAGCCAATCTGGGTACTCAGAATCCTCCTTAGCGAAGACATCCGGCTTGTTCTTGAAGTAGTTGAGTCCGTTCAGTTTGGTTCCAGCCGGGCAGCTGCTTGGTGGGCGCACGACGGTGGGTTTTGTGGAAGCTCCGGCGTTGGCATCAGTGTGGACGCCTTCGGGGGTGCTCAGAGGCTGAGAAACGCCGGGGGTAGCGGAGGAGATGGCGGACGGGGTTGTGAGGTCGCCAACCGTGGGTTGGCGGGGGGAGGGAGGAGAAGGAGTAGCAGCCACAGGAGGGTTGCTGCCACTGCTGTATGAGCGGAATTGGCTGCGAACCAGAGGCAGCTGGCGTGCGCATGCTGAAGCCGTCCGGATCACTGGCTGCTGGTTGAATCGGGACAGCATCGTTGTGCGGCAAGTTTTGCAGATCATTGTGGCAAGATGAATTAGAGAAAGACGGAGAATAGACTAGGCCGATATTATAAGGTTCAATAAAAGGCCCTGGACGAGAAGGAATCCCAATTGCGTTGAAGATGCAATAAGACACGCGCGCAGACAAAGCTGTCGCAGAAAACTGCGGCCATATTTGATGCCAAGACGGAGGTCGGTCACGTGATATACTAGTAGACATGGTGTATGGCATAGGAGAGCTTCAGTTCTTGCTACCAGGCTCTAGTTTTTGTCATAACAAATGCATATCCTCGCCATGGTGCAACTCCAGAAATTCCTTGTTCTGACCTCGTCATACAAACCAGTTGTGCTCAGAGGTGATATACGTGTCACATGATACAGCACATCTCCGCACCACATCCAGTCAACATCTCTGGATTAGTTCTTGACTACTAACTTTCTTTGAGAAACCACTCCAAATTTCAAGGATGAAATGGGAACTTTTTGTCAATTTGTATATCACAAGAAAGCGACATATATAAATGACTATGTACATCCAAATGGGAAAACGGCACAGGGACTGACCGAGAATGCTCGCGAGTAATGCAACTCCAATCAACATGTCAAACCAAAAAGCAAATAGTCAATCATTATACTGAAACACATGCCTCTAAAGGGCCATTGTTCCGGTGAGCAGGTATATTAGGAACAGGTGAGAAAAGCAAACAGAACATAACTGTGAAATCGGACCAACAGTATGAGGACCGCACTATGAAGACAGACCACTGATATCCAAGAAGTTGCAGATGTCCTGGCACGCATCCTTCAGACTCTTTTCTGTCTTCCACTGAAGTTCTTCCGTCGATCGGTCGACGACCGCAACGCAGGCTCCAACATCACCTTCGCGACGTGGCGCGGCACGCCGAGGAATGGGCTTCTCAATAACAGACTCCATGGTGCTGACCACATCCATGACGGAATTTCCCTTTCCAGTTCCAAGGTTGAATGTGCGGAAGTTCTCTGTCAGCTTACCTTCGTTGGCCGAACTGAGCGCGGCAATATGCCCACGAGCCAGATCACTGACGTGGATGAAGTCACGGACGGCAGTGCCATCCTCGGTTTCCCAATCTGTGCCAAACATTGCCAGCTCAGAATACTGGCCAGTCATTACTTTGACAACAACAGGAAGCAGGTTTGTTGGTGCCTGTCTTGGGTCTTCGCCCAAAAGACCGGAAGAATCACAGCCAACGGGGTTGAAATAGCGGAGTGCAACAATGGTCCATTCGGGGTCTGATGCGGCCAAGTCCGCAAGGATGGTTTCACACATCCACTTTGTGCGTCCGTACGGGTTGGTGATACCAGTACATCCAGGTTGGACGGATTGTTGTGAGCCTTCGTGATCTGTGTACAACTCTTCCTTGTGAACACAGAGTTCCTCCTTCAATGGAAGACCTGAGGTTGCGAGGGTTCCGTATACGGTGGCGGAAGACGAGAAGATGAAGGTCTTGATGCCAAAGTCTCCCAGTGTTGTGGCAAAGTCGACAAGCCCGCTGACATTGTTGGAGTAATATTTCAGTGGCTTCCGAATGCTCTCCTCCACGGCTTTATATGCTGCAAAGTGAATGACTCCGGCGATTCTCGACTTAGGTGTCCCCCACCGGGATGGGAGCTGATACTCCTCGAGCAGCGGCTGAAGGGCTTTGGTGTCGCGATAATCATGTGCGTGCAATCTCAGAGATGGCATCTTGGTGCCATTGTCCTCGTGATGCTTTTTGGCCAAGAGGCTGATACGATCGAAAACATTCTCGAATGCATTGCTAAGATTGTCGATCACAATGACGTTATAGTTGGCCTTGAGCAGCTCAAGCGTGGTGTGACTACCAATAAAGCCGAGTCCGCCAGTGACAAGAATGTGGCTTTGCAAAGGGAGTCTGCGCAACAAGTCATGGAGATTGTCGAATGGGTCTCCAGCCTCTGTTGCGGGTGTGTCCAGGGCGATAGGAGATTCCACTGGACTGCTTGCATCGGACCTCTGAGGGCTGTCCGATCTCGAGGAGGAAGATGATGTTGGCTCAATCATGGCGAGAAGTCAACAATAAATGACAGGTAAGTTATGCTACCACTGCAAACAAAGATAGAAAATGGTCTATGTTATTATATGACCACGACCGAGATATCCCCATTATTCGGTGGGCCCTTAACCAAGGTTTTATACAAAACAAGCGAGGTACCTGCGTTGCCTCACTCGGGTTCTCCGTTTGAGTTCATCTATTGTGCCATCCTTCCTTGGCGAATAAGGATCCAGCACAGTCCCCCCCCCCGGCAAAAATAGAAGAAAAAGAAACAAACAGAACAAGCATAAGCGGAATAAAAAAAGCACAAAGACGGCGTATGAGAGGGGTAGTAGGCATACCTGGAACAGAACGATCGGGCAAGATGCCCCTTGGTGGGCCAAACATGCGGCTGGGCCTTGGGGATATCATTCTGTCTGCCCTAAGTCCCTCTCTACCTGTACGTCAGGGTCTCAGCTCAAGCTAGTATGATAATGGAATAATGGAATTATTATTATTATTATTTCTTTTCTTTATATCTTTTTCTTTTTAATATTTTCTTTATATTTTTACATATTTTCTTTCTATTTTCAACGTCTCAGCCAAGACCCTTTCTGCATGTGTTGTATGGTCGAGCCCCATATCCATTTTTGGCCGGGACAGTTAGTCTTAGATGTTGACCAACGACTTCTTTCGATGTGTTTTTGTGTTTTTGTTTTTTTAGTTGGCCACCAGTGTTTGAAAAATTCTTGCTCATATGTAACCGGTAGTGCTCTCGAATCCACTTTCTTCATTTCGACTTTCTCTCTGTAACCAATATGTCTGACCCTGAAAAACACGTGAGCAAGCGGACATGTCTTAAGTCGAAGCGTTCTCGTTTCATCTTGGCAATTGTGGTTCTGATTGTGATTATTGTGGCCGTTGTTCCCTCCGTTGTCGTCACTACTCTCCGCAAGAAAAATAACATGGGTCCGAAAGCGAAGGTCTTCGTTCCACTCTACGTATATCCTGCTCCTGAGGCGTGGGCTCCGCTGGAAAATGTGTATGTTTCTAATCCTTTTTCGTCCCAATTTCCTTTCTCTCTCGGACTGCTTCCCATCCCTGCCAGTAGCCCACTACAGTCATTATGTCGCGCCGTTTGGGCATCGAATCATACTATCACATATCAAAATTAAAAGAAAAGAAAAGAAAAATACAGATGAAGAAAAACAGCTACTGAACGCCACAGGATATCTACCCACCCCGATGTCAACTTTACCGTGGTAATCAATCCTGGCAATGGTCCAGGACCTGACTCTCTCCCGGATGGCAATTACACCCGTGAGATCCCAAAGCTCACTGCTTACCCAAATGTGAGGCTTTTGGGTTATGTGTATACCTCATACGGGAAGCGCAACGTCTCTGCTGTCCGCGAGGATATCCAAACTTATGCGGACTGGCCGACTAATTCTTCCAACCCCAATCTGGCGGTTCGGGGAATTTTCTTCGATGAAACACCTCAGCAATACGATGCTCAAACCTTGACGTATTTGCAAGGTCTGACAGACTTTGTCAAAGACCTTAAGGATCTTGGCCCTGATCAGTTTGTAAGTTTTGCAATTCTTCCGCGACTATGTTTTTACTTTACAACTTATTCACTGCCCCATACCATACACCCCCTGTCTCGCATCATCGTCGGCCTATATTTTCGTTCCATTATTTCGTTTCATTCTGTTTTGCAATTTTACTTCGCCTGGTTTCCTATTCCATATCCCTTTTCAAAGCCACACTATGGCTTTATTGACTTTCATCCCAACACTGCATATTCCACCCCGGGCTGCATCACAATGGTTTCCCCTTCTGGGATACATAGGCGAAGTCCATTGAACTAACCAAATCTATTAGGTTGTCCATAATCCTGGCGCTATTCCCGATTCTCGGTACTTGGAAACAGCAGATTC